CGCATAACCATGGTTCAGAACGATCACATCAGCAAGGAGAGAGACCTTGAGTTTCTGCTCGACGAGAACGACGACGATGCAGAACAGCAGCAGGACATTGAAGCTGACAAGTACCAAAGTAGCAGTGAAGAAGACAGTGATGTCGAGCCTCGCTCTTTCTCTTCTCACCAATGGCCTCAGAGTTACAAGTATATATATAATATACATACATATATTATTAATTAATACTCTTCATTGTTCACTTCTCTTTGCTCCAAACCTTTATGTTTTTGATTCGTTGTTTATTCTGTCATCAGAGTCAATCATGGTCAAGTTCTCTGTTTTGACGCTTGGAGTTCATGTTGCCTCACTTGCATGCTTTGGTTTCATTTCATCGTGTTGTAGTCTGTGTGAGAGTTTTAATGTTTTTTAAACATGAAGTTTGCATATGAGAATGATGTTAAACATGATCTGAAAATAGTTCCACGGCGCGTGATCGATAGATCCAGCCATGATAGTTAAGATATGTGCTGGAGCTATGTATAATATAGTTCTGATCTGAGATTGCTTTATGTGTATACTTTAATTTAGTCTCATATTTTTATTAGTGTGAAATTTTCCACAAAGACCACTGAAAACGACAAAACAATATTTTTTTTGTGAGTATTTAACACGGCTCATATTTAGGAATCGAACTTGGTCGAGGAGCAAATGTGGTTTTTGTAATTTTAGTTTGAAATTTGGATGTCGAACATCTGTTTTGGCTCCTTTTGTCGTGTCCGTTAATTTTAAAGGCTAATTTATAGCACAATCTTTGTTCTGATTTTTATAACACTGCAGAGTTAGAGTTGTCATTTTCTAGCTTCTTCGCAGTTCAGTTTCTATATTTTTTGCAGGCAAAACGATAAATCATAATACGGTGTGAAACCACATGTGTCCATGATCATGACCCATTTCTATGATCTCACTCATCTTCATTCGATAGATAACTAGATTTTTGAACTTTTTCTTGTAAATCGAGAGTGTGAAAATTAGCCGGGAGTGTATACAAGTGGTGATGTAGACCATGAAAGAGTTTTCGTAGAAAATTCTTACATCAAATTTATAATAGTTAGTGATTTGAATTGCAATTTTCCGAGTGAGAACTGATTTGTATGGCATCAAATTTGTTTTAAATTTCTTTGGTAGTATTTGTTTATCTGGTTTATAGTAACTTTAATGAGCTGAGCTCAGATATTGTTCTCTTATTGTTGTTTTCACCCCATTTCTTTTCTTATGACAGAGAGACTACGGATTCTTACACAATAGCTGCTGCTCCAAATCTGGAGTCAGTTCTGCGAGGGCCGAGTTTTATATATTCTAGTTTTGACAATCGTTCAAAGAGTAGCTTAGACATTGATGGAAAGACACCTTTTCTATCTTCTGAAGGCACTAATCAATCAACTTGGTGGGAGAAAGCCTCAGTACAACGCCATTTCACTGGAGAATTACCCATTGGATATGGATGCAGCTTCACTCAGACAGTTTTCAATAGTACTGTGTTATTCCATAGCAATCTTGTTACTATGCATGCATGCAAAAAAAATCTATTTCTACTTGCTCATTTTATGAGACATGTTGTATCTTGGTAGGCGTTAATGTGATGGCTGGAGTTGGCCTTCTATCTACACCATACACAGTGAACCAAGCTGGGTGGATCGGCATTGCAGTGATGCTCTTTTTTGCAGTTATTTGCTGTTATACAGCAACTCTTATGAGACACTGCTTTGAAAGCAGAGAAGGAATCACTACCTACCCAGATATAGGAGAAGCTGCATTTGGAAGATATGGCCGGATTGTTGTATCGGTGAGTTAATCTATTTCTCTACTTAAATTAATTACCTTTGATCTTTATATGTTTTAGGGTCCTCACAAAATGTACAAGAGCATGACTTCATTCTGTTGTTTAATCTAAATCTGCATCATACTTGTAAGAGATTGCTGAGATATTATGTTTACTATGCTTACTTATTATGATATTTGTTGCAGATCATTTTGTACATTGAATTATATGTAAGTGCATTTCCTATTTCTTCTCTTTCCTTTGAAACACCTGCATTTTGTGCTCTACACCACATGTACAATCTCTATTAATGGATGCAGTCATATTGTGTGGAGTTCATCACCTTGGAAGGAGACAACCTCAGTAGTCTGTTTCCTGGTACTTCCTTAAATCTGGGTATTTTCCAGTTAGACACTATGCATCTCTTTGGAGTTCTGACAGCACTTATTATTCTCCCAACTGTTTGGTTGAAGGATCTTCGCCTAATTTCTTATCTATCAGGTGCTCCAAAGTCCAAAATATTTCCTTTTTTTTTTTCAAATTTTTCTTCTTAACATGTGCTTATCGGAACTTGTAATATGATCTGCAGCTGGAGGAGTTGTTGCAACACTTTTGATTATTATCTGTGTGCTTTTTGTTGGGACCACAGAAGGTGTTGGATTCCATCACACTGGTCAATTGGTAAAGTGGAATGGCATTCCATTTGCTATTGGTGTCTATGGATTTTGCTTTGCAGGACATTCGGTTTTCCCAAACATTTATCAGTCCATGGCTGACAAGACACAGTTTACCAAAGCCCTCATAACATGGTATAATACCTAGTAACTTCTCTTTCACGGGCAAAACAAAACACAACATGTTTGATGTTTTTTTTCCTGATTCTTGGACTCATTTCTTTGGGTACAGTTTTTCTTTGTGTGTTTTGATATACGGAAGCGTTGCAATCATGGGATTTCTCATGTTTGGTGATGGCACTTTGTCTCAGATAACATTGAATATGCCACCAGGTGCTGTTGCTTCCAAAATTGCATTGTGGACAACGGTGAGTATTTGAGAATTTTTTGGTCTCTTAGCACTACTTTTATTTTTGTAGTGTTATTCTAGCTAGCAACAACTTTTGACCCCGAATTTCATGTTCTGTGCTGTTCTTTCAGGTTATTAACCCATTCACTAAATATCCTTTATGCCAAAGCTATATAATTTATGAAAGATTGTTTATTGGTTTATGGTTTGCAAAATTCATTAGTCCTCTTTTAGTTTAGCCTTTTCCTTAACAGTAAACACATATGCTCTGTTGCTGAACCCACTGGCAAGGAGTTTAGAGGAGTTGCTGCCAGAGAGAATCTCATCCACATATTGGTGTTTCATTCTTCTTAGAACAGCCCTTGTTGCATCTACAGTTTGTGTTGCTTTTCTGGTTCCCTTTTTTGGTAAGCTTTGGATTTAGATTTTACTATTGGTTGTGACCACCTAAGAAAATTATGTAACGTTAGCTTTATATCCATATACTCATAATTTCAAAACTAATGATAACTTTATTGTAATTCCAGGACTTGTGATGGCTTTAATTGGTTCTCTCTTCAGTTTACTTGTGGTAAGAAATGCATTGACTATATCTCTATCTCTTTTTCTTCAACAGTTATGATATGTATAGAATCATTGTATAACTTTCTATGTTGTTATTTTATTCTTAGTCCTTTGTACTTTGCCTTATTGTTATTCATTCAGTTCATGCAAGGAATTTGAATGAAACTGCTATATCTAATTTTAACAATGACATTTCTTTCAGTCAGCCATAATGCCAACTTTATGTTTCCTGAAAATTATTGGGAAAAAAGCTACAAAGTCACAGGTAACAGTCTGATCTTGTATTTTTCTTTTCCTATAAAAAGTATAATAGATAACACAGAATCGTTCTTGCAACCCAATTTTACATACATCAGAGTATAATTTCAGGCTTAATTTTAAAACTGAACCATATATTCAACAATACTGGGTCATCTTTATACACTTTCCTTTTTACTTTTTCATATTTTAGTGAATATCCATTCTTACTATTTTACTAAGTTCCCTTTTGTTTTTTGGAATTAACAGGTTGCACTCAGTGTTGCAATTGCTGTACTTGGAATGATTTGTGCAGTCCTTGGAACATACTCCTCTGTGTTGAGTATTGCAGACAGTTACTGAGACATTGTAGTCTTTCTGCACTGAGTGTTTCTGAATCCAACCTACATCTATTTGGATTACTGTGTGTACAAGTTATTTTAGCTTTAAAATAGATATTAAATCCGTCTGTTTGTTTTAATTATATATATTTTTATATTTATAGTTAATATTATTGAAAAAAATATACATTGATAAAATTATCAATTTCTAAAATATTTAGTTGAATATTTTAAATATAATTGCATTAAAATTAAGAACAAAACAAATTACTTATATATGTTTGGTTGAACAAATCATAACTTACACAAATATTACTACAAGTTGTCCTTTCAGGATTTAATTTATCTAGCTACTTTTAAAATTATTTATCCAAAAAAAAACGTTATGTGTTTGACGTTACGTCTTTTAATTTAATTGTTAGTGTTAATTCGAGCGGAAATAAAGAAATTAATTTCTTAAAACTAGCTAGCTAGCCATACAAGATTTTCAATTTATAATGATTCTTTTAAAGTTAATATAAGTGTCTAATGTAGTATATATATTAAAAACAATACATAAATATAAATTGATTTACCAAGAGATAAACACAAAATATATAACCCATTATCATTCTTTTAAAATATATATATATATAATCGAACGAATCCTGCAAAAGTATTATTTATAAATTTTTTTAAATAAAAAATTAAAAATATTTAAAAATAAAAAAATTACAAAAAAATTATTATGTGACACGTGATATATAATATTCACATGCCATTAATTATTTAAATGAAATTATAAGAAAGATTAATGGAAAAAACGAAAAATTAAAACTTGATTAAGAAAATGATTACATGAAAAGAATTGAACGAGAATAGAAACAAAATTAGTATTCAAGCCACTATTTAATATATGATTGGCATTGGCAAAAACTGGGGAGTGCAGGAAGAAAACAATGGGTGCCGGAAGAACCCCCAATTGTTCTTCGTTTCCAGGTTAGAAAAAAAAAGGCTGATGGGCTCGTGGTCGTATTTGTGGATCAAGTTGACAGGTCTCATGGGTGTATCTTCTTCTTTTCCCGTTCTGCATTCTTTGACCGGGGCATCAAAATCTGCAGCTTCAACTACACAGGTGTTTGCATAGAATGGGGAAAACGGCTTACAAGAGGTTGCTGGGAAGCCAGAGCTTCCGGCAACGCCTTCTTCTCGCTACTCTCTCTTCGACTCCCATTCTCATCGAAGACATTCGCGCCGACGAGACTTGGCCAGGTCTCCGCAACCACGAGATTTCACTCCTCCGTCTCTTTGAAACTGTCTGCGATGATTGCCATGTAGAAATCAACGAAACTGGTATTTCTTTAATTTCATTTTTTTTTTAATTTTTCAATCAGGTTTAGTTGCAGTAAACCACCACCAGAGGATTGGTTAGTCATTTTATTTGGATTGGACAGGTACCAAATTAAAGTACAAGCCTGGAACTATTATCGGTGGCAGGCAACACCGTGCTCACGATTGTGGCGTCTCGCGCTCCATTGCCTATTTTCTGGAGCCACTCATTGTGTTGTGTTTGTTTGCCAAACAGCCCCTCACGATTAGGCTCAAAGGTATAGTAGTTATAATAATTAGATTCTATTTTGAAACCTATCTCTGAAGGACCATTTACAAGATATTTGGATGGTTTAAATTATAACTTTTTTTAATATTGTTTGTCAGGAATTACGAATGATTCTAAGGATCCATCTGTTGATACCTTCAAGTCTACTGCTTTACCCATATTGAAGCGCTTTGGAGTTCCCTCTGAAGGCTTGGAGCTTAAAATAGAGAGTCGTGGATTACCTCCCGATGGTGGTGGCGAAGTTGTTTTATCACTTCCTGTTGTTCAGAGTCTATCTGTAAGTTTCAAATTCTTTTTTATGATTTCGTTTTTTATTTTTAAGTTTGATTGTTATCTTATGTGTTCTTCCTGGCAGGCTGTTAGTTGGATTGATGAAGGTTTTGTGAAGAAAATTAGAGGAACTACCTTTTCAACCAGGGTGTCCGTTCAGTTTGAAAATAGCATGATTAAAGCTACCCGTGGAATAATCAATCCTTTGGTTTCTGATGTGCACATTTTCTCTGATCACAGATCAGGTCCTCAGGCTGGAAAGTATGACTCCTTCCACTCAGTAGAATTTGTTCAACATGGAATTTCAATTTTGGAAATACATTTGGTAGAAATAGGGAAAGTCATAGTATTGTAACTCCTTTTGTTTGTCATTCGCTCGTGCAGTTCTCCTGGCTATGGGATTTCGCTTGTTGCGGAAACTACTTCTGGTTGCTTCATCTCTGCAGACACTGCTGTTTCTCATTCCAGGGATGATGATACTTCTAGCCTTCCAGATGACGCAAAAAGAGACCTGATGCCTCCAGAGGATATTGGTGTGGGGACTGCCAATGCTTTACTTGGTGAGATAGCTCAAAATGGAGTGGTAGATTCAACACATCAGGTTAGTATGTCGGCAGTTTCTTTCTGCCCTTTTATACTGGTATTAAGCACGTAACAAAAACTTCTTTCAAACAAGTTCATATTGGTTGGGTAGAGCTACATGAATATTTTATTTTAAAAAATAAATATGAAAAGACCATACTAAATCTATATCTATGTTAAAATTATATCACAAATAAAAAAAATCTATTATAAAAAAAATCATAATTTTTTTCATAGTATGGTGCTAGAATATGTAGCTACTAGTCTATATGTTGAAGTTTAAGCCCGTTTGTGAAGGATTCCCCTGATATTGCTTTTTACTGATTTGGTTTATAGGGCTTGCTATTTCTTCTTTGTGCACTATGCCCTCAAGATGTTTCAAAGGTTCGCGTTGGAAAACTTTCTCAGTACGGGGTTGAGACTCTTAGAAACATAAGGGATTTTCTAAATTTGAAGTTCATTATCAAACCAGAGCCGAACACACAGTCAGTTTTTCTCAAGTGTGTTGGTTATGGCATGAAGAACCTTTCTCGAAAGGTATCATAAAGCGCGTTCAAAAGTGTTATAAATCCAAAATACAAGTCTGAAAGAATTGCAATTTTGAAGCAACTGCTACTTTGACACCTGGAAAAGACCTCAACAGCAGCTTCAATATGTAATATTATGCCAATGATCATGATGTACCCTTCTCCCGTATGAATTAACAGGTGAAATTCAGATTCAATTGTAACCCAGTTTTGCTAGCTATAAATATATTTGAGCGTTTTAAGCATGAATTTTATTCCTTTTAGCATTTCTTTTGTCCTGGAGAACAAGCACTTATCATTATCAGTACCATTCAAGAAAATCCCTGTGTATAACAACCATGCGGCTGTTAGTGTCTATGATTCTCCAAAACTTAATGCTCTGATAAAGCTGCATCATATTTTATTACATTCTTCTGCAAGATTTTCCAACAAGAAAACATAAAAATTGATTAGCAATTAGCGAAAATACACTATGGAACAAGCTGATAGTTTGAAGAATCTGACATTAGCTATTAGTAAAATTAGGGATATGAACTGGCAAGACCCTTTAGCTCTAGACATTATATTATGAGCGCTGTGGTGTGAGAGAAGATGTTCTCAAAATAAGTAACCCCAGAAAAACATATTGAGAATCAGGAAACACAAGTTGAATAAAACCTTCATCATAAGGGTCATACAAGATCAAGGGCCTTTCCTTATAATTGAACTTGAACCTGAGCATTTACTATAGAAAGTCCTCGTAAGAAACTTTTATGGTCTTATTTTCATATAAGAAGCTTTAGAGTCTTATTTTATTGGGATAATACCTATTTTGGTCCCAATTTTGGTTGGGAATATTCGAAATGGTCCTAATTTTTTTTTGCTGTTTAACGTAGTCGTAAAAAATGTAATTTGTGTTCAATTTGGTCTTTTTGCAAATGCCGTTCAAATCGTTAACGACCAGATGTCCAAATGTGCAATTAGAGAGTGAAATGTCATGTATTGGCTTACGTGGAGTCCTTTGTAGTGTTGTGAGTTGGAAGGCAGGAAGAGGTCGAGCAGTGAGGGAGAAGAAGAAGGGAACCGAACAGCTGAAAGGGTGAGGCTACCGAACAGTGGAGGTGATGGAGGTGTGTGCCACGGTGGATTTTTAGTTCTTGTGGTTTGCAGGTTTGGGGTTGGCAAGGATGATGGAGGTGTGTGCCGTGGCGGCGCGTTGAAGAAGGGAGAGTGGTAGTAGTAGCTGCGGCCATGGATGATGTCGCGGATGGAGATGTGGTGGTTGCAGGTTCTCGCGTTGAGTGGTGCGATTGTTACGGCGGCGACGGCCTGAAATGGGCTTTACTGTGCAGCAGTGGTGGCGGCCTAAGGTTTTGGAAGCGCGAGGAAGATGATGCGCGGAGATGGTGGTCTGTCGAGCTGAGACTCTAATCAGAAATACATTTTCAACAATTAGGGCTTAGGTGGTGGAGAAGATGACGGAGGTGCGAAGATGGTGGTTGGCCGTGATCGTGGCGGCGACGGTTAGGGTTAGGTGGTGGCTAGGGTTTCTGTGTAGGAGAAATTAGGGTTTCTGGAGGTAGGAGATGATCATAACGTGTCAAGGGTGATGTGTCATTTATTAAACATCTTGTCCGTTAAGGATTTAAACACCGTCTGCAAAAATGACTAAATTGAACATAAATTACATTCTTTAGGACAACATTGAACAACAAACAAAAATGGAGACCATTTCGAATATTTCCAACCAAAATTGGAACAAAAATAGATATTATACTTATTTTATTATAAGGAAGTTTCAGTTCTATATTTAGGTTTTATAAAGGTTTTCACTTTTATAATTGCTGTTAGTATTTTCGTTTTTTTCAACTTCAAAAACTAATGTAATTATTATAATTAACTCTTAATTCAATGTTGGCGTTTTAAAGTAATGTTACTGTTAATAGACTTTTTTTTTGTCTCTGAACTTTATTTTCGTGAGTAGATTATTATAAGTTTTTTTCGCTTCATATACATTTTTTTTTCTTTCAAAAGACTAAATTCTAATAATTCTTTTTCTAATTTTACATGTTTGCTGTTGAAATTATATTTTTTTAAGAAACGAATTCTTAGTAACATTTTTCTTCTTTTAATGATATAGATTTTTATATTTAGTTATAATAAATCACTTTATTAAAAATTTATAATTTTCTTATAAACTCATGTGAATATAAATTTAAAAAATATATTTAATTTAATATTTATAAATTAATTGGAATAAAAAATTAAAGAATGATTATAATAAATAAGATAATTTAAATATATTGTAAATATGATAATAGAAAAATAATCATAATAAAATATTATAATTATGATTGTCTTTTTGTAAAATTAAATTTGATAAATGTATTATTTAATTAAAATAATTTATGTAATAATTTTTTTTTGTGTTTAATAAGTTTTTATTACATTGGCCAAATACGACATCCAAATTTGTAAATGAAAAGAATATCAAAAGATAAACGATGTAAAATCGGATAAAAACAAAGATGGATTTAAGAGAACAATATTATGGGTCCAAAAAAATGTTTATACTGTACAACACCATGACACACCAAAAAAAAATATATTTAAACATCGTCGTATTGTCAACTTCTAGTCATTAAGTGTAATTCTAATTAAATATCTAATATTTTACTTCACTTCTTTTCAAATAATTTTACTTATAATCAACTTATTATTTAATTTTTTTTTTCTAACAAATTATACCAAAATTTTAACAAATTAAATTATTTCAACTATATATATGCATTTGTCAAATTTAATTCAAATCAATTTGCTTAATTCATCTTATTCTTTATTCTTTATTTACAGCACCTATTACTAACTCTTTTTCAAAACTAAAATTTTATTATCAAGTAAATCTTTTAATTATTAAATTTAATTTAAATAACAAATAACTTGGGTAACATTCCAATTTAGTAATATGATATTACTAAAACGAACATTACATAGATAATGATACAACAAACTATAGATTTTCAAAGAATAAAATTCTTCACTTTAAGAACCAAAAGTACAACCTACACTTCAAACTTCTCATCTAACTTCTCGTTTAGCCAACTGAAAAGATTGCATCCCTAAGCTCACACCATTAAGGTGATCATCACAAAAGAGAAGACAGTACACAGACAAACACAAAAGCAATGATGAACTAGATATACAAAGATCATACTATTATAATAACACATAACATACATGTTTAATTCAAGTAAACTGGATCACACATCATAACATGTTATACTTTAAACTTGACTCATTCGGACTTAAAATGATTGTCGAGCTATGGCAGGTCGTGCACTCGTGGTGGCTTATACTGTTTTGCAAAGCCATTGCCAATGGGTTTCACCCTATCACACTCACGAGGTTAGTCTGTACCGCACCTTGGAGCATACTGGAAGCCTCCAAGACTAAGACCTCCTACTACTCCTCACGACATGGATCAATCCTCTCTACGTGAGAAGAAAGACCATTGGAGTTTCAGGATAACCCCCAAGACTGAGCTCCTGCATTCATTCTAAACATACTCGAATCTCAACAAGAGAATTCACTGTGGATCATAACATAAGGCACCACCATGTAACCTCCCTGTGAGGTTCATGGAATTACGCCCATAACATAGGGCACCACCATGTAACCTCTCTTTGAGATCCATGGAATTACGTCCATCAACCATACTGTCACTATGAAACTTAACTCAAGACATGAACAACCAAGTACCATAATACTATCACATGGAATCCAAACATATAACCTCACTGATCATACACTATCATAGATACTTCTACACCATTCTAATAATCAAAACATAGTTCAAGGTTATCAGAAAACAGGAGTAAAAAGAATAAAAACAGGTTCAGGGCAAGTCGCTCAGCGCACCAAACTCGTGTGCGAATAACACCAACAGTGGTTTTACTTACTCACATTCGCTCAGCGCACCAAGTCTGTGCGCTATGCTAAACTGAAAATTCTACTACACATTATCATACCCTAAACCCTCGCATAGCGCCCTAAATTCGCTATTCGAATTAAACTAGCATTTTCCCAAGCAACCACCAGTCGCACAACGTCCAAATTCGCTATGCGAATCACCAAATAGAGAGCAACCCTCTCTAGCCATTCGCACAACACACCAAGTCGTTGTGCGAATGCCCTGACAGAGAGCATCTCGCCAGGGGACTCGCTGTGCGAAACAATTCGCTCAACGAGTCTGCATAATCTGCAGAACGCAAATTCTGCAAAATTATGCAACTCACACACTCTTTACCATTTTTAGTCATTTCCCCCAACTTCTAACACCCCTAATGCGTGTTTTATACTTAATTAAACTTATCTAGATGATCCCAACCCTCCTTACTACAAATCTAGAGTGATTAAGACTCAAATTCAACTCTAAAACACCAATTTCCACAACTTAAGGACCCAAATCCAATTCTACTACTTTGCACCTATTTTTGACCAGTTTGATGACTCTAACAAGTCACAAATAACCACCCTATACTATCGCAACAGACTACAAGAGCCCTAGACTCCTAACTCTCAAATTCACTATCTCACTTCCTCCAAAATAACTTAAAACACTACCAATTCACCATGCTTTCTATCTAAACAATGTTGTAACAAATTTCACACCCCAAATCACTCCCAACCTAATTAATTACAGTAAATTAAACTCATCCACTCACTTCATAACATCACAACACAGTTCACAGATTTCACATTTCAACACATCACACAATATACTCAAAAACGTAAAATACAACTCCAAACAGTACACCAATTCAGAATTCAGTATACATACACCTCATGCAACCAATTTAAAGAAATATTCTAGCTCCCCTTACCTTAGAGGTCACACAACACAGCTCACCGAAATGCCCCAGTAGTACCTCACACAACAATGAACTCAACCAAATCCTACAAACCACCAAATTAGTGATAGAAACAACTCTTAGAGCTAGAGTTTGACAGAAAGTATAGGAATAACGCTACTAGTTACATGCAACCAGTAGAAATCACATGATCCAGCTCAAGAACATGCAGAGAAAAGGGAAAACAGCTTACCCGGCTATAACGAAGAAACTGATTGGTCAGTTATGGAGCCCTCTACGCCGTGGACGTTTGGGCACCTCCTGATCGAAAATCCAACAACTCAATGAGGAGGAATGGAAGAGAGAAGGCAGAGAAGAGAGGACAGGGAAGATAGTGGCTTTGAAGAGCGAT